TTTAATTTCTTTTCTTTTTTATTAATATATATTACACTGTAAATGGGATTAAATTGTCTGATTAGTGAAGCAGGCTCTCTCTGCAGCAGTTAAACCCTGAATTCCTCAGGGTGTTCTATAGACATTGTTAAAGCCTCTTTCCAAGGTGCTGATAACCCATGAGAATTAAGCCTAACATTTCCCTTGTGCTCAGGCTGGTTTCACGCTCTGACCCCAACCTTTGCTTTGTTAGTTCATCTTCCTGCACAGAAACCTTTGTTTTTGCCCTTAGAACTGTTGTAAGGCTGCACTCTAAAGCAGGAGAGAGAACTGATGCAGATTTTGGAAGACACCCTGCCGCCCCAAACCCAAGAGCTGTGTGGAGAGTGTCCTGCAAGGGGCTGCATCACCACAGAGCACCATCCAAAACTTGCAGCAAGACCCACATCACCCATTGTCCCCAGCAGTAGAAATTGCTCCTTGATGCTCACAGGCACGGTGCTGCCTTGAAGTGCCAGTACCTTGAGGGGCCAGTACCACTGCTTATGTGTCAGGAAACTTGGCCAGGGCAGAGCCAGGAAATGGAGCTTTTAGCCCAGAAAAGCCCAGCTAGTGATGACAAGGCCCCAGCACAGTCCCTGTCCCCAAACTGCCCTGGCCAAGTCTCAGTCACGCTCATGAAGTGCAGTGTGTGCTGAGCTGGAGTTCAAACCCAGGCACAAGGACTATCCTATCAAAAACTCCACTGGAAAATGCTTTAAAGCACCTAGAAAGCAAAGAGTTGGCTGAGAGAGGCATGGACTTGGGGAGGAGGACAGAGGGAGGCTGATAGGCAGGTGGATCTTTTCTCACTCTGTCTTGTGCTCCAGTGGCTTTTGGTTGAGACAGCTCTGCCCTTCTGCAGATTTTACAGCATCCTGCCCTCACCAACAACAGCTCATCAGATGTTAATTTTAATCACCTCCAGCAGGGTAATGAGGGCAAGTGGACCCTAAACTCTGGCTGACGATGCCTACACAATTCTCTGACAGAGAGAGGAGGTCCTTCTTAGCCTGTCAAGAAGTAAAACTAGTCTTGAGAACCTGGGGCCACATCGTTATGCTCTTTATTACATCTCATTAAGACTATATATTATAGAAGCAATATTGTAGAGTTGGACAGTGCCAAGCCAAGCAGGTTTTACCATACTGCAAGATTAGGAAAGTTCTTCATCACTTTCGCTTTATTTGCTGACACAATTGTCTTTAAAACAGTCAATCAATGTACTATGCAAGCAGAAAAATTCAAATGTACAATAGACTGACCAGTAAATAAAAATCAGATTAAAAAGACTTAAAGACAAACGACATTTTAAATCACTATAGTTCTGCCTCCTGAGTTGTCAGGCTTTTAACATTTCACTGACAGATACACATGTATATTTATATACATATAACATTGTTATGAGATATACTTCTAAGTCTGTAGTTGAATAATACTCAATGAAAAGTTATATGCAGACCTACCTGATTATTTTATAAATTATTCAACCAATTAGTGACATGATAATGTTCCTACCTAAAGAATAGTGAAGTCCAGCTGCACAGAGCATGAGGCATAGTTTTATAATTCAGCTGAGTTTTCTGGTCCTTTGGTGTCCAGACCCAGCTTGGACATCATTTATGTACCTAAGCAGTTTATACAGGTGAATAGCACAGCTGCCTTTTCTGAGAGCTAAGTCTTCCACAATAGGAGCAGCAGAAATATTCACAGGGTATAAACTGGTGTTTTAGCATTTCAGGCCTAAAAAAAAAAAAAAAGATCTAGACTAGATTAACTAGAAGAGAACAGGTTTCCATATTTCTATGACCTGAAGAAGGGAACATGGGAGGACAGGAGTAGATGTTGTTTCTTTATGTCTACACAGTAGAAAAATATCTCCTCAGATTTACAAAGGTAAAAAAAGGTTTCATTCATAGGTGACTTTTCCCCCCATGGTCATTGAAGAAGTAGATTACTGAGCCAACATCTTTCCAACAATATTTGGGAGGAAACATTTCCAAATATTACTGACAATTAAGCAGAATAACAATTTTAAAGCTCTGGGAAAAGGATATATGTGGTGAAGGATTTTTTGCATAGATGTAATAAGTGAGCCTGAGAGCAATGCAGGAGGGCAGTGCTGGCACAGACCCAGGAGGCACGATACAAAAACAAAGCACAGCCAGGTGGTCTGATAAAACAGAAGCAATGGGCAGAGCCCTCACAAACCAAAACTAATGTCTTGGCTGTCTTTGATGACAAAAGTTTTAAGAACTTGTTTAATTACCTTCTGCTTTGCTTTCCAAATGGTCCCTAAGCAGCTTATCCAAAGTAAGCTGTAAATTGTATGATCAACTCTTTGGTTTGAGGTAAAAAGCAGCAGGGGAGGCAGGCCAGGATCCTTGTGTGGACACAGGCAAGAGCTAAACCCCAGACACTGAGAACCTGAGTCAACAGCAAGAATTTCCTGACTTAGGATACTACTGATGAATATACCAGTCAGCAGCAAGGAGTTCTGGCTTCTCCCTGGCACTGTGTGGGTACCCTCTCAGCTGCCAAAATCAGGGTACAAAATCAGGTCATGCCCTCCCTTCCTCTCTCCTAGTGCATTGCCCTAAAACACCCAGCTCCCCACCATCCCTCAGCCCAGACCTGTCCCCTGCCTGCTGCAGGAGATGGCCTAGCAAGGATGAAAGAGTTTGCAGTGGTTCCTGTGCCATTGGGAATACACACACTACCATGCAGAAATCCCTGGTATTAAACATGAAAGACCTGAGCCTAACAAGGAGCAGGAAGAGTGATTTTTAAGGCAAGAAACATCAGACATTTTAGAAAAAAAATCCACTCCAGTACAGAAAAACAACTTCATAAATCACAAAATGACAGAATCTGTCCCACTGGAAAATCACCATGAGAGAGGAATTCTTGTAAATGCATCTCTGATTTGAGAGATAAAACTAGAAAGCACAGAGTTGACTGTTGTGAAACTGTCTTTTCATATTCCAGTAATTTATAAAGTTCAGATAAGTGCCTGAGTTGATGTCCTGATTTTTCTGAGGACAACAACCATATTGGTACTACCTTTAATTGGTCCAGGACATCAACCCTGAACTTTGTGCTGTTGATCCAAAGCAGCCAACATCAAGTCATGTCAGTGCTTGTATGAGCACTGAAATGAAGTCAGTACATACTCAGTTTCCTAAGGAACTTTCCCATTATGCAGCAAACAGTATCCCTTTGCTAAAGACCCATACCTTCTTGTTTGAGGAAAAGCTCTATGAAAATACTGCCACCATTATTTATGGGAAAAATACCTCCAGGAAAAAATTTAGTAGTGGCAATTCAATGATAAACTTTAATCTATGGAACTCAGGAACTGAGCTGGAATGAAGGAAGGGAAAATGCTTTCCTCTTAAGAAAATTTTGGCTTTTTCAGGAAAAAAAAAAGATAAAAGAATGTTTCTGTCCCAAATCACAATATTTTGTTTCTAAAAAGTGGCAACATAGCCTTAAGGACAGGAATGTCTGCTTCCTTCACTCTGGAAGGTAGTCTGAGATCCTATCCTTTTCCATAAATTATGCTTCCATTATGACCCCCTTCTTTCTAAAGACACACAGGAAAATAACCCGATTTGTTTCAGTTAGTTAGCTTCAGTAAACCTTCCTCCATGAGGACTGTTGGACAATCATAGATTCATAGAATGATTTGGGTTGTAAGAGGCCTTAAAGATCATCTAACGCCAGACCCCTGCCATGGGCAATGTCACCTCCTTGCACTTCCATCAGGTTGCTCAGAGCCCCATCCAACACGGCCTTGAACTTTTCCAGGGATGAGGCACCCACAAGTTCTCCAAGCAGTCTGTTCCAGTGCCTCAGCACCCTCACAGTAAAGAGCTTCCTCCTAGCATCGCATCCAAAACTACTCTCAGTTTACAGCCATTCCCCCTTGTCCTGTCACTGCATGCCCTTGTGAAAAGTCCCTCTCATCTTTCTTGTAGACTCCCTTCATGTACCAAAGGCTGAAATTTAGGTCACACTGAAGCCTTCCCTTCTCCAGGCTGACAATCCCAATTCTCACAACCTTTCCTCATAGGAGGGGTGCTCCATCCCTCTGATCATCTTGCTGGCTTCCTCTCCCTTCCCTTGACCTGCTGCCCTCAGTGCTTTGGGTGCAGCCCAGGACACTGTTGGTTTTGGACTGCAAATGCCCGTTGCTGGGTCATGTCCAGCCCCTCACCCACCAGCACCCCCAAGTCCTGCTGGGCAGGGCTGCTCTTGATCTGTTCATCCCCAGGCTGTTGATACAAGGAGTTGTCCAGAGCTGGGTGCAGCCCCTTGCACTTGGTCCTGCTAGACCTCATGAGAGTCCCAAGGGCCAATTCTCATTGTCCAAGTCCCACTGGATGCCATCCCACCCATCAGGTGTGGCAACCATACCACTCAGCTTGGTGTTATCTGCAAACTTGCTGAGGGTGCACTTCATCCCTTTATCTGTGTCATTAATGAAGACATTAAATGGTACTGGTTCCAGTATGAACCCCTGAGGGGCACCACTTGTCACTGATGTCCCTTGGAATTCTGAGCCATTGACCATCACCATTTGGGCTATCCAACTAAGTCCTTATCCAACAGTATTTGACCAATCCTTGTAAAAAAAAGTTTCTCTTACTAACATTTCTATACTGATAAAATAAAATAAAAGCATATAAAAATTATATTTTGTATATATGTATATACACAGAGACCCATATGGATTTGCAGTAATTAAATCAGTCTAAAGAAACTCCTTTTGAAATAATTCCACCATGTAAAAATGAAATAATGCACAAGGTATAAAAAGATATCACTCATATAGGCACCTTTCTTATTAGAAAAAAGAGCTGTGTGTGCATCCTCCCTCACCACCCATCTCAACCCTCCCCCCCCAGTAATAGTTATGTGTTAAAGCTTTTCTGCTGTAATAAAATATCTTTTCATTAATATTCTTAATAAAAATCAAATTGAAAACTCAACTGGTCTGTATTTTTACTATATTTTTAAGTCCTCTACTCCTCAATTGCTCTTTTTATCCAGACAAGTCAAATGATACTGGTACTCTGTTTTTCTGTCACATACTCTTACCTGAAAATCACAAGTCATCCTGACCCATCCAGAACATGAGGGCAAACACACACACTACTTAAAATTCCATGTAAGACCCAGAAACAATAAAATCCATCATTTAAAACTGGTATAGTATTTCTGGCTTAAAAAAATAAATGTAGATGAAGCTATATTCAGCACAAGGTAAAAACCATCCCCTGGGAAAAAAACTGCCTACACAGTAAACCAGAATAAATCCTGCAATATTTATGAGTATTGTGGTGCTGGGAATCCCCTCTGAGTGCCTCTGATTTTCACCATACATTGATTTTTATCATAAGCTGTTCTAAAATTAGAAGAAGCCATGATCTGACAAGTATCCTTTATGTTTTAGTCCTACAGATGAATACCATGAGGTACTTTCTCAGCTTGAAACTGTTCCAAAACCAGAGGCACTAATCTGACATATTAAACTGAACTTATATAAAGTCTTGTGTCTTTACATCATGCAACATCATTTATGGCATGCTGGGCTGTGACAGCTTAAGTTATGAAAATGCAGTATCACGCAGCAGATCAGAGCTGGCTTTATAGCAGGTCTCTTGAATTTCTTCATCCAGAAAGAATAAATTTTACTGTGGGAGCATTCTGCATAGAACCCCTGCAGAGCAATAGATTAAAACTGGATTTTAGCATTTACGTCTTGCTCAACTATAAATCAGGAATTAGAATTGATAATGGCAGTTATCCATCAACAGCAGTGCAACTGCAGATGAGCCGGAGTAGTTTTATCGTTAAAAGGAGTTACTTTTTATTATTATACTTAAAGAAAAGCTCTTCTACTTGGAAAGTTTCTAGGCTCTAAATAAGGAACGACCAGATCCATTTAGACCATCAGCACTTGAAGTAACACCTCTCCATATTTCAGACCATCACTCTGAAACTCTGGCAGTGGGCTGGAGCAGTTCGCATTGCAGTGTCCCCCAGAGAGGAGCAGAAGGGACAGCTACCAGAGCCGGCAGGACTCTGCCCCGCGGTTCATCGTCGTGTTCGCCGCGCAATTGAACGCCTTACGGAACTCCTCAAAGTTGCTCATGGCTCCGATTACTCTGCAAAGAGAAAAGTGATTGACATGCAGGTTGCCTTTTGTCAAACACTACGGCTCTGCAAGTGTTTCAGTGTTTTCACTTCAGGCTGAATTTTCAGGCTTTCATATAATTTTTTCCACAAATAAAACCAAAAGGTTCAGGAGAAGGGCTCCCAGTTAAAGTTAATATGAAGCAAATATTGTTTCATGCTTTGAGAAACATCTTGCTTTGCTAGAAACTTGAGGAAAACCAAACCCATTTTGTGATACTGCGTCCTTTAGAACAATTTTCCAATGTAACCCTTGGCAGCACAGGTGGGAGATCAGCAGTAGCTGTGCACTGTGGAATTCTTCTCCCAGCCCTGCCAGACAGCTGCAGTGAAGCAGGCAGGAGGATGTCAGCACACACTGGGGTTGTGCTGGCAGTGGGGTTGTGCTGGCACTGGTTTCATGAGGCTCCAGATTCTCCTAACAGCCTGCTCTGCCCATCCACCCACACACACTGGGTCCCTGGGACTCTGCAGGCTCTTGTTGGGCAGCTCAGCCTTGCACCTGTGAGCATTTCAACTCCTCTGATATCTTGGAAATACATTTTCTGAGCTTTCTGCCCTGAGCAGCTCCCAAGCTCTCTTGCTTCTACCACAGGTGGTGTGATACTGAAAGGGCAGCACATCCCTGCCTGACAGAAGCTGGACAATGTGTCTGCATTCCAGACTGGCACCTTTAGGCACAGGAGGAGAGCTTGGTCTTTGCATGCAGTCATCCTTGGCTCCTGCTTTCATGTCTGCATCATTTGATGCAGTCAGAAACTACTATTTTACCTTTGCTAGATTGCAATTGTGTTGTTTGCTGGTTTTTCCTATGCTTTTAACAATCTTGGGATTTACTAATCTGAAACTTGCAATGGTATTAAAGAGTTTTCTGAGTTAAAAGCAGAAAAAAACATCTCCTGTGATAGTAATTGTATACCTTGCATCTGTTATGCAGCAAGGAGGCATTTTTCTACATTTTAGACAATCAGCTTCTCAGTGCAGCTCAGCATGGTAGAAAATATTTTTATTACATTGATTAGACTTTCTGTGAGCAAGAAAATTTACAGTCATCTGGCAAAAAAATGCCTAAAGGTCAGTTTTGTAGTGAAGATTACCAAATTAGGTTAGGTTTCTAATAAGATATGTAGCTTTACTTTAAAAAAATTACAGATACATATTCAGGGACTGGAACAGCAAGAGCTGGTCATGCAGAGCTGCTGCTGATTTGGTGGGTGTCCTTCCTGCCATGCCAGGGATTTCAATCTGAAATTGGCATTCAAAAATAGCAAAGGCACATGCTAATACTGAAAATCTGCCAATTAAAAACAAGTAAACACGGAATTTATCCAGTGAAAAAAATCTTCATGTGTGCATGCATGCCACTTTTCTACCCATGGTTTGATTCTGCCACAAATTAGCTGAAATCAGAGTGGAGTGTCTGGATTTCATCCCATTGAATTATACCAGAGACACCTTTCCTTGAGCAGGTCACACTGGCCTCCCTTGGTAATCAATAGAAAGATGTACTTGCAGAGTCTAAGTAATTTAAATTTATTACCTTCTGAAAGATTATTTATATATATATATTAACTCCTAAAGTGACATTTCCCTTTTGACTTTGGAGAGAAACTGGTGTGAGTAGTTCAGATGCTTACACCTCTGCTCAAGACATATGTTGTCCATGTCTATAATTTTTATTGTTACCTTTTATGATTGCTTTTAAAAGGGCTGCTTGAGCTTTTTTGACAGAAAGAGCTGTCAGGGTTGGAGCTAGCTGTATTGCAGTTATGCTTATAATGGTCTTAGGACACAAATGAAACCAAGTTGGGAGACATAGATAAGATAATTTTTTTAGCCCAGCTGGTATGATTTGCAAGGAGACAAGCACCACTGCTTTTCTTCAGTTCTGAAACAGAAGCCAGTTCTCAATATCTTGCACAAAAACTAAGAAAAAGTTTTGTCTATATTTTCTACATCTCAAATTAATCTAAACTTCTCTGAAATTTTATTTCATAGCCTGATGCCTTCAGTTTTCCTAATAAATCCCTAGAGTTCCATGTGTATCACCATCTCATGGGAATGTAGCTATGAAACGATTCAGAATATAAATATAAATATAGGTAAATAAACCTGAGGATTTTAAAAGAAAAGAGATGGTTATTTTATCAAAATCTTAATATGGGCAGGAATTATGAAGATAATATGTCTGTAGGCTGAAGTTCAACCTGATGCTCCTGTCTTCATTACCATGATATATTTTCAATGCTAAAAGGCACACAGATTTGCATACTGCACTACTTTTACCCTCACTAGCTGGTATAAGACTCTTTTAGTCAACAGAAGTGGTGGGATTCTCTAGAAGGCAAATAATCCTCTGTATTGTGTGAATTTTGTTGTGGATATAACATCCTTTGTCCAAATAAAGAGGTAATGTAGTACTTGACCAAGGGCAAACACAGAATTCTTAGTTAAGTAAATTCAACCAACATGAATCCCAACAAAATCAACATGTTCTTGGTGAAGAAGCAGAAAAATAAACTCTGGCTTCCTAATTCCTATGCAGTCTTTAAAAAATTCCCCTCTTCCCATGGCAGGAAGTTCATGAGTGTCTGTGGCTGGAGGAGCGTTTTGGCAAGGACAGATTCTCTCTCTTATGGCTGGACTACCACAGCTCCTTCAAGCAAAGTGTCACTTGAAGGCCAGTGGAAGAGTTTGGGCTTGAACTGAACTCACAGGGCAAATTTTGTTTTGCATTATCAATGGAACTCAAGGTCGAGACGTAGGAGCTTTTAATGAACTCAGATTAAATCAAGGACCCTCCTTATATTCACTGTTTTCTAAATTAGAATTGCTTAGGGAAAAAAGTGATAGATGAGACATTTTAGGTACTCAGTCCATGACTACAGGACATCACAGGGATCAGAGTGTGTTCTGGTTCAAATGCTTTTGAAGGTAGATGCAAGCTCCTCAATTTTACAGAAGAGCATTTATAATAGTGAGAGATAAGCTAATAAAACCAGTTCAATTTCCATCTAAACCAAGAGCACAATCCAATTTTGTGCTTGCTCTTAAACCCCTCTTAAAATGCTATATTTCTGCACTTCTGTTCTGCAGTGATTGATTCTGTGTGTACACTGAGGAAATACCATATTTGCACTACCTGAACTGAGGAGGGCTGTGAGCCCCAGTATATATTTGCTCCCTCGCAGATTCCGGTCTGAAGGAGTTGCATCTTACCTAACAAAATAAAAAAAAAAAATTAAAAAAAAATTAAATTTTTTTTAAATCCACACCAAAAAAAAAAAACCACAACAAAAAAACAAACCCAAAAAAAAACCAAATTTTTTTTAAATCCACAAAAAAAAAAAAAAAAAAAAATAAAAAAAAAATTAAATTTTTTTTAATTCCACACCAAAAAAAAAAAACCACAAAAAAAAAAAAACCCCAAAAAAAAAAAAAAACCAAAAAACCAACCAAAAAAAAAAAAACCAAAAAAAAAAAAAACCCAAAAAAAAAAAAAAACCCAAAAAGCCAACCAAAAAAAAAAAAACCACAACAAAAAAACAAACCCAAAAAAAAACCAAAACCGAAAAAGACACATTATCTGGGATAACTTTTCATGCACAGCAAAATGTAATGTCACTGTTCTTAAGATGTCTATTACTTTTAGAATACATAAAATTGAAAGACACCATAAATTCCTACTTAGTTTCACCTTTGCCAATCTGCAGTTTTCTCTTGGTATAGTCTCTTGTTTTTCAAATCCCCTAATGGATCCAGTGTCCACCCACTGTTTTTCTCTACACACTCTTTCCCATCATCTAATCACAGTCACTTTACCAGTTCTTTTTTTGAAGTTTTCTATAATGGCAGCTTGTCTGTCAGCTTGTTCTGCAGCATCTCACACCTTAATAATTACCAAACATGCTTCTTGGTCTCAAAACTATGTAATGTGTATAAAAGGTACACATAATGATGCTTATCATCTCTAGAACTGCTGCTCTATTACCTGATACATTTATGCCATATTGGAATGTCAGTTTCTTTGAAATTACACATCTTCCACATTTCCATCAGTGGTCCCCAGTTCCCTGTTCCTGATAAGATACTTAACCCAATCATAACTGATCAAAAAACAGAGTAGATAGAACATTTGCATAATTGAATAACCCCTCTTACACTGTATCCATTGCATGAAAAATCTCCTTTAAACTGCCCCTATCTTACATTAAATGTCTCTACATTAAATGTCCGATCAACAAAATCCTTTAAGCCAGATTGCTCATAGGATTTCAGTGGACTTCAGGGCAATTTTGTCTGGCTGAACAGAGTTATGACATTTTAAATAAGTCTGTTGAGTGTCTTGAGCTTTGTGGAAATAGACTGAGCTCGAGGGTTTCTTACATACACTGCTCTCACTGTGCATGTGCCCTCCCTGTGAGGGACCCCTGGACATATGATTTCTGCAGTGGTCCTGTAAAACCCCCAGATGTTCCCTAGAGCTTCAAAATTTTCTTGAAGAAAAACTGACATGAGAAGAAACTTATTTCAGCATAAACAAGAAAGTGGAATATTTTCTTTGTTCAATACAGTGAAACTAAAATAGCCACAGGCCCACAGACTGCTACACTGACTCTCAGCAGAGAAATTATTTTCAGCCAGGACTGGTTGCATCGGGTCCTGTTTTTTCAGTTTGGGATGATTCATTCCTTCAACAATTTATAGCCTTTTATTCTCATGTAGGGAGTTTGCCCCAATTTGTTTACCCAAATAAATAATTTCTGATCCTCTCCCTCGCTCTGTTTCTTTCTAAAAAAACTCACACCCCTTATGAAAGTTTTGTTGCAGCATATTTAGTGTACAGATGGGAAAAAATAAACTAGGACTTTCTTTGCTGCTGCTTAATTTCCTTGAACAATGCACACAGTAAAACATGGTGTGAGTTAAAATTGAAGGAGGCTGAGGAGCCAATACATGCAGGAAGACCCTTTTAGTTCAGGGAAGTAGAAAAAAGAAAGAAAGTTGCTGTGACAGCACTGTACAAAACCAAGAATCATTTCAGCAGTTGTGGCACCATGGGTAGTTGAGGACAAAGAGGGAAAGAGAAAGAAATAATAATTGTGGGAGAAGTCTCTGCTTATACTCTCAAATCTGTGTTTGGGTGATGCAGATTGTCGAAAACAAGCAAGCTCATCTCTGCACTGCACATTGTTCAAGTTAATAGATGGGGATTTGAAACACATTTGTACTACTCACATGGGCATAACTCAGAAAGAAAAGCTGGTTATGTGTGAACTCAAGGCCTGGCAGTAAAGGCTCTTCTTCTCCTCCCCTCTTTTCTCTAATCCATTTCCTGTATGCCTGATAAGAAAGAGATACTAAGTGCCTTTCAGCAACATGAAGATAACCACAGGGGTTTTTTATTATTATTTTTTAAATAACAAGATGTTTCAGATATTTTCCATCTACTTACCCTGAAAGCTTCTCGCAAACCTCCATTATCTGCAATGTTTTCTGCCAAAGTTCTCTTCCCTTTCACCTTGGGCAGAATGAAAGAACATCAGCCATTTGACCCATTTCTGAACTTCCTACTTGATCAACTTCAAAAAGAGGGGGAAAAATAAAACAAGGCAAGAACACCTCAGTCAGTTTCAACTTTGGTTAAGAAAACTGGGTTTCCATGCGAATACTGCCAGTAAACTATTTTCTGTGATGAGTTATCCTGGCTCTGGTCATAGATCTCTGTAGCACAAAATATAGTAGATAGAATGCACTTAAGAATCCAGTCCCTGATCTTTGAGCTGAGTGTCAGTAATTTTCCCCTAAGGACAGTTTATATCTGGTGACATGTGACATCCAGTAGCTTCTTAAACTTTTATCTAAAAGGCTATCTTTATTTCTCTACATAACTCTTAATATGCTACTGGGATGCTAAAATAACTTCTAAGTCGTAACATAAATAAGCTTAATTAAATATAGCTGTCAGAGACAGAATCAAAATTTGAAGTATATTCAGTGCTCTAAAAATATCTGCAAAGGAGATTCCTGTTGCTTCTCCTGGGTATTGATTCCAAGACCAGGAGCAATAGCAACAAGAATGTGTTGTGGGCAACTGCACTATATAAAATTTGTGAGGAAATGTCTTCTGGCATTACCCAGAGCAATATCATTACAAAGAAATCCTACTTTCTGCTGAAGTGGCATTATCTCCACTCACCCAGCCTACTCAGGTCCTTGTGTTACCACCTGTATTTGTAAATAAGCAGTTTTACTCTCTCCTGTGCCTCGAGTAACCAAGATAATTGAGCACAGTTCTGAGCAGGGCTCTGGAGGTCAATGCTGGCTGCAGCCATCAGCCCTCCTGTGCCACAGGGATCAGTACAGTGGGGTTGGCATCAGGACTCACTTTCAGGATGGCAAATGAGGGGAAAACTCAAGGGAATGGCCAGGAACTTGTGCACAGCCCCACACTCAGCACAGATGAGCACCCAGATTGGACTCAGGACATCTTATTGATGCCTTGGGTACAACGTTACGGGAAAAATGGGAGCCACAGGAGAAAGTGCAACCCTTTCCTGTCAGCTCTCCCCTGCCCTCAGGAGGATGGACATGGAGGTGAGAGAGAAGCTTTTAGGACAAAAGGTGCTGGGACACCAGGGAACAGACGTGCACACAGCTGCCTTTTCCTCTGGCCTTCCTGCTCACACATTTTACTTGCACTGGGCTTGTGAGGGAGACTGACTCAGAGCACAAGATCAGAGTAACCCAACAGTGGCACAGGGCCAATGGCCAGCTAAAAAGTGGAAGAATTCTTTCTGCTGATCTCAGGCAGCTGTGGATCAGGTATTTGAGAGTACTCTGCACAGGGATCACAGGCCATGATAAGCCCTTTATTTGATGAGATGACTCTATATGATTATTGCACTCTGAAGCTATTTCTATGATCACTGTTTCTTTCATTAGGTTTCTTTTCTGGAGACATTTTTATTGTATACTAGATGAGAAGGAAGAATAAATAGGTTTCTTGATCCATGAAAAATATTCATACAAGGGTAAAAAACCTGCAGAGCACTGATATAAATGACAGGCCAAAATGATAATTAAAAAAGACCCTTGCTTGCACAGCTCTTCAAACAAAAGCTATAAAAAGTAGTAGAAAATTGGAAAAATCTTCTATCATCTAAGAAGTGCTTTTGGTTATCCTGTGGCTATAGAAGGAAAGGGATGACAAGGCTTTGGGTAACAGGATCTCTCTAGTAAGTCCACAGACTTCAAAGGCAGTGTCTACACTGGGAAGAAATTCAGACCTACCTCATCTCAAGAGACAGTGCAAAAGTTAAAGGGGATGGCCAAGCCAATGGCAGAGGCATGGGAAGAGCTCAGCCACATCCTTGGGGATGGTTTTAAGGATCTTCTTTGAGTGGCATTTTTGTAATGACAGTTTTTGTCCTACAAATATTCAGGAATGAGCCTGAGAATTTTTATTTGTAAGTTAGCTTATTATGAAGTATTTCAAATCTGAGTTGCTGGACTTCAGACTGGACCACGATATGTATTTGTTATCTCTGAGATCAGCACAAACAAGCCTGGGAAAAGTGCTAGAATTGTTGATAAGAATTTCATGGGGCCTCACTATTCTTAAAAGGCAAAGATGTGTTAGTATTTGTAAAATGTAGGTAGAGGTGGTAGAATTGAGTGGGGACTGGAGTATGTGTTTTATCCTGAAAACTAAGATTAAAATTGTGTCCCAGACAACATCACTGGAATTTCAGCTATTCATTTCTGAAGGTCTGGGACATATCCTGTTTAATCCTCATTTTGGACACACATATGAATGTACACATCTTCAGGGAAGCCCATACCTTTGATAGACAACAAAACAGAATCAATTCCCTTGCACTGTCTCAATTTTTTCTAGGAGCTACTGCTGTCATATTCCCTTGATTAAACATACAAATGGGGTCTGTGTGCACACATGGAAGAAATAGCAAGAGTTGAATCTGAAATAAAGAAGGGCTTTTGCATCCATTTTATAGCTGCAATAAATAACAGGAAGAATTGTTAAAGGAATCTATAAAACATGCTATTATATTCTTTCTAAAAGAGTGACTGCTCAGTTTTCATTACAGACCTCATCTTCAGAAGACATTTAACATGCTCACAATAATTAGACCAGCCCTACTGAGTGACTTCATCCTCTTCCTCCGATTCCAAAATGATGTGATGGAGAGAAATGGTTTAACCCTGTCACCAGAATGTGGGTAGTGGTATTTGACTGGACTAATCAAACCCGACAGACAATTTTTAACACAATTATTCACCTCAAAAAATCATTTGTTGTGAGAAATGAATTTGGTAGTTTAATATTCCAATATGTTGGGATTTATAAAAAGAGAAAAAAAAAGAAAAGAAAAAAAGCACAACCCAAACTCCTCATGTACCACTGTTTTCAGTCACTGGTGGTTTACATACATGTAAGCCAGCTTGCTTCCAGTAGTAATTGTTGTACTGATTAATCATGCATTTTGTTTTTTCTTTAAATTTTTCTTCAGAGTTAGTCGTCCACCAAGGGTCTAAATTTCCATTTTTGTCATATTTCCGACCTCAAAAAGGAAAGAAAGAAAACACATGTTTTTGCAGGAAAAGGCTTTTAGGAATTTATCACCTTCACAGAACTGAGAGGTGAATGTTCTCATGTGAGTGTGTGTACAAAATGGATAGGGTCAGTGAGCAAAATCTTGACCCCACTCAAATCAGCAATGAAAAGCTGGTATTCTATTTATTGTCATAATTTCCGTTTGCAGGAAAAAATATAGTAATAACTAATGAATTCCATAATACATTTTATAATTACATCATGTAAGAGGCACTTAACTTTCTTGCAAGTATAATTGCATTTTTCATCCTCAGACCATGTCTTTCATTCTGATAATATGATGATAACTAATTTATTATAAATTATTCACCTGATCAGGAAAAAAAATCCATTTCATACAAACTTCTAAAGCTTCCACAAGGTGACAAATTCCCTAGAGATGTATTTATTTCTGTATTTGGAAGGTAAGATCCTGGCAAGGAGGGGTCCGGAATCAAACTTGAAGTTCCTTACTGACTGCAGGAGTCAAGGTGGAGATTAGGTGCTCACCTACACAAGGTGTGAGTTTATGAAGAAAAAAGTCTCCATTCTGGAGTGTTTGTTGACACAAAGTGTTGTAGAGCAGGGTGAACAGGATACCAGGATATATAGGTTTTTTGGGTTTGCTGGGGTTTTTTTAAGGTATTCGATATCACACAACACAAGCAAACTCAAAATTACTCCCTGGAGGAGGAGGTTCAAGTTTCTTTCTTCCTGCATCTCCCTCCTCCTGCCTCTCCCCTAACTTTCTCTCAGGAGCCCAATTTTTAAAAGCACTTTGCTGAGGCAGCCAAACCTAGGTAGTGGCCAATGCCCCACTCCACCCAGTTTGTCAGGACAATTGCGTTGACATTTTATGACTATTTTGTTTCCTGTCTCTCTTTTTTTTTTTTTTTATTTAATTTTAATATTTTGCAACACCGTCTCTATATCACTCTTGTTCCAGTATTGTATTTTAAAACTTTTTCTATTATCATTTGAAAAATGTCAAACCTGAAATGAAAAGTTTTCTTAGTAATTTTTATCAATCAGAAGTTATCCCTTTGTCCTTCACACTCCCCCCTCCCCCTGTTAGGACTTTCAGAATCTGTTGCTGATTTAGTTTTCATTCAAGACAAACAGAAAGAATTAAACTTGTGGTATTTCTTATCAACTAAAATCCAATTCAGACAAGCATGATTCCATGTAAATAAATCTAATAAATACAAGTTTATAACTTTTTCACACAACTCAGCACTATTAAAAAAACCAAAACAATAAAAATGCTGCAGCATGTACAAGTCAGCTTTCTAATCTGTCAACTCTAAATAAAAAAAAAATTATCAAAGTGCAGTCCAATACTCACCATTGCTATCAAATCCATGAGTAAACTCATGGCCAACAATCACTCCTATGGCACCATAGCTTAATGATCTGTAACACGAAGAAGAAGTTTCCTCAAAAAGTGTTCACAGTCATGAACATTAAAGGACAAAAGACCTCAGGAAAGAGCTCTATTGATTTAAAAATAGGCTGAGGAGGCAGAGGATATGGGTCTAAAAATTATACCTACACAATTTTGACTTAAAGATGTTGAAAGTCTTAATGTTAAACTCTTGTTTAAAAGTAACATTTAACCTAAAACTTTGAAAGCATTGTGATGGTTCACTCTTCCAACCAAATCACTTATCAGCATCATAGGAGCTCCACCCTCCTTCAGCTGTCTGAATTCTGAATATTCTGACTGGGAACAGGGCAAAGTTATAGCTGTAACTACTCTGAAACAAAGACTATCTTTTGTAAAGCATTAACAGGTCTCCATTCAGTTTTAAAAAGAAAGATCATATAATTCCTTTGCACCTGCCCTGGAATAGGACATGATACACAGTCAGATCTAAGTGATAATGCACTTGGGAAACAGAGTAAAAAGAAATCCTTTGTATTCCTGATTGACAATTAATTATATCCCAATAAGCATGCTTTCAGGAGAAATAGGGATGAAAGAGGGAAAAGCTCAGGGCTTTTTTACACCAAACACAGTGGGCATCATGGGGGTAGGTGATTTACTCAATGTATCTTTCATTTGTTGAGTTACTTTTTGTGATTTTAATTATTTCAGTTATTGAGATGCTATACCTCAAAGTAGCTTATAGTATTTCTAAGACATTGTATTGAAATAAAGAAAGGCAGAAGGTTTTGAAATAACATTATTGGACCTAATGGTCCATAGTGCACTAATTGCTCATCTCAGTCATGCCCAAAAACTATTATATCATTTAATTCCCTCTGCTCCCATGAAAATCCTTCACTTTATTTTTTTTCTTTCCTGAATGGTACTTTGCATGTGTTAAAATCTCCCCTACTGCTTTTTAGCCCAAGTACTGTTACAAACCATCTCCAAAAAATGCAGGTTAAAATTATATGTTTCAGCAGTGGAAATGCCATCCTTTTGTGTGACAGGTTTGTAATCTTGTGTAGCACACAGTGATAATTACCCCTAATGAATGCACTATGTTAGACTTGTTTTCCATATCTGAAGTAAAGGGATTATACAGGATCTTTTGCAGCTGGAGAAGTATAAAAATAATGGCACAAAACACGTAAAGAGATCTAGAAGAAACAAGTCCTATTACTAGTAATGCATCTTATTTTTCCTCTAAGGTTCTTTGTCACCATGAATGGAAAGGACAAAGAACAGGCTGGTGTTCTGCCAGTCTGGCTCCCTGGAGCTTTCCTTAGCTCCAAAAGATGGGCTTAAGATTGCAGTGAATTTTGGCCTTTGACTCTGTGAACCCCAGTGCAGCATTTTGTCCAGCTCAACAGCAATTTTTCTAGAAATCTTCCCAGTTCTGTTCATGCTTTTCAGTTCTGGGCACAGTTGGACAGAGATGGAAGGGTCAGGTGCAGCCCAGCAGATACCAAATTGAAGGGGAACTTTGGCCTTTGACTCCGTGAACCCCAGCATTTTGTCCAGCTCAACAACATTTTTTCTAGAAATCTTCCCAGTTCTGTTCATGCTTTTCAGTTCTGGGCACAGTTGGACAGAGATGGAAGGGTCAGGTGCAGCCCAGCAGATACCAAATTGAAGGGGAACTTTCTGGGATTGGGGAGGCTCAGAACTGAGGTCAGGCAGTTTGAAGTCTCTTTCAATATGACACTGAAGACTCACAATTGTGACTGGTGGCATTTGAGTGTTATTTTATTTAATGTACTGAGATGTAAAAGTGATAACTAAACTTTGCTTTCTGCAAATAGATGTAACTGGGTTTTGGTGATTGTGCTGGAACTGGACACTAAAATGCCACTAAATGATAAAAATTTGCTAAATTAGTTTTTCAGGTGACTTTTTAATCGTTTATCTGTTCCACTGCAACGTAGTGTTTCTTCTAAGCAGACAGAAAACATCCCGAATATTTCAAGGACAAAAGCAATCTGTTGTCTGATATAAACCAGCTACATTTGTTTACTAAATTACATTTTGATATGTACTCAAGCAAAACCAATTTAAGCTAAGGTAACCTTTAAGGAAGAGAAATGAGCAAAGTATAATACTTTAAAAGAATCACAGTTTTATCACTGTGGCAGAAGGTCAGAATACAGAGAAATCAGAAAGCAAAGCTGGTCTGCAATAACTATGGCAGAAAATAAGTTCACCTTAACAAGAAAGGACTTTCTTCTATCCCCAATTATACTTACAAAGTCACCTGGCCCACAAGAATTCTCTTTGAATATAAATTAATTAGTTCATAAATTGAATGTGTCTTTCTACATATATTGTCAAATTTCTTGTTTACAAGGACACAATCCAGACTGGATGATGGCAAACACAAAATGTTCCAAAAGTTACTTTTTTTTTTTTTTAACAATGATTTATTAAGGATATGTTTCACCAGAAACTGGCTTTATATAACTGCAAAATAACTTTCAGAAACTGCCACCAGAAATTTTTCATGGTCTTATCCTGCCCTAAAATAGAAAGCTATTGAACTGCACAAAAGCAGTGATTTTTCAAAATTTAATGTATGTGACCTATAATTACCCTTCCTCAGCTCCACTGGCACATGGGCCTGCTCAGGCAATCTCAGGCAATCACTTATGCACACAAAGATATTCTCATGCCCCTCAACAGGCACAGACAAGGGCCCATTGCTAATCTTAGATATTAGCAGAACGTGAACAATAGACTGATAATAATTGGCTTCTCAGGGCATTCACTTCTGTTCAGGAAGTGTTAGTTATCTGATTTACAATTCCTTTTAATACCTGCCATGTGCACACTGCTGCATCTGCATGCTGGAGCATTGAAACACTTCCACTTGTGTGCACTTAATTAGCAATTCCTGTGAGAAATCAGTCATCAGTTTAAGACAACAGCAACAGATACAGCTCCCAAGGGTAAGAAAATATCACAGAAAGCAGCACTTCTCAAAGTCAGCCCGTCCAGAGGCAAAAGCAGGATGCAACAGGAGAGAGCACACAACCCAAGGACCAGGACAGTCCTACAGCAGGACAACACAGATTTCCTAGGGACTACCTTTCAATTGCCTTCAGCACCACAGCCTTCTTCTCCACACCCTCTCCTCTGTCTATATGTGTTTGCAATACCTTTCCGTGTTATTCCTCAGTTCTAGGTGGATGAACTTCCCTTGAGCACTGCTTACCTAGGATACTCTGTTCCCCAAAAGAAAGGCTTTTGAAGTTCTCCTGCTGGGAATCCTGAAATAACAAAAAAGAAAAAAAGAAAAAATCTAGTGAGGTCAATTGAATACAGCTGAATAGCAGTCACAATGCCCAAGGATTTTGATTTTATGACCTCATTTGTTTGGTTTCAGAAGGTTTTTCGAGGGAACCTTTCCCCTGGGTGGTAGAATGCAATAAAGAGCATCTCAAAAAGGCAGCAGAGATCCTGCCACAAGCAGGTCTGAGTAAATGCATGTGTTCCTGTGAAAGACACACCTCATGCTTCCTATGAAGAGTACTGGATTATCCTCAGATGTTAGCTTAGTGAGGCTTCAGTGAAGCAAGATAAAATGTAAGCCTGATTCTATTTAGTCTATGAAAAACAGAGGTAAATGAACATACTCAGGCACTTCTGTAAGGGAAAACTGTAGATTATTAAGGCTGTAGGGTCAGCCTAGCTACAGCTATTACCTGGCTGCTTCTGGTAGACTAACCAGTTGCCAAAAAATCAGTAATGGAGACACTCTGGTGTGTGATGAGCTACTGATGGTTCACATAGGAATCAAAATTGTTCCTCAAATTCAAAGTCACGGGCTTATTCTTAATTCCAGGGTGACATTTTAGTGCCAGGATACTAAAGACAGTGGAATTGCACATGGCAAAAGTTTAACAGCCCAAATAATTGCTAAATAAAACATACACCCATGGTCAAAGTTCTTATATGATGGTGAAAAGTGCTATCCTTTCAGGACCAAATGTGGAATTTACTGTCTTGTGTCACAAACTCTCATCTATAAAGCACCTGCTTGGAAGGTTTACCCACATCATCATCACCTTGTTGAGGAAGAATATTTCCTCAACAAGGAAAAACAAGGGATTAATTTGTTTTCCCAGGAACTCTTCTTTATCCTATGGGTCTCTTCAAGAAGTCACTTGAACACCCAGAACAATACAAAAACCATATTCGTTTTATTCTAACCCTATTCAGTTTTCTGTTGATAATTTGCTTATGGATTTCTTTGTATCTGAGATAAGTTGTCAGGCAAGTTCCTTACAACATCTTTAAAAACTTACTTTCAAATGAAAAAAAACCCAACAAACCAAAAAACCCCAAACAAGCCCAGTATGCTGAGTGTAATTCATGCCAAGTGATGTGGCACGAGGCATGTCCTCCTGGCCTGCCCAGCTGCTTTTTTCTGTTGCTCCTCTATGGCTGCCATCATTCCCTGTCTGCAATTAGCTTATAAAAAGTGTGAGCTTCAAAATTTTCTGAGTGTTGCCTGGGCTGGTTTTTCTTTCTTACTTCTCCAGATGTTGTTTTATTGTTTCAAGCATATAATTTTCTTTTCCAGCACTGAAAACCACAATTTTACCAAAGTCAAGGACAAAGTTTTACTGATCTAACTCTCCTTGCCTCCCAGTGCGAAGATTGCTTATTATGCATGTTTTGAACATTTTCAGCAGCAATGGTACACTCATACAACCTGATGAAAATTGCTTGTTAGGCCTCAAGAGCTGTGTTTAGAGCTGAAAATCTAGTTTGAACTGGTCTCCTCCAAACACTGGAATTCAGAAAAGGTTTTGGAAAGCTTAGGTTCTGCTAACTCTAAATGATCCTATCCCCACAACAACAGAGGAGAGGAACTGTGGCCAAAATGAACAAATGAGCCCATACTGAAGGCAGTGTGAACCAAGGCAGCACAGTTCCCACAAATCATGTTTAATGATCACACAATCCTGGGTGCCTGTCACTGCACCAAGAGGCTATCCAGATCTTTTAAGGAGCTGAAATTATTTTTTCCAGCTATAAACTTGAAGTGAGTTTGCTCTTGTCCACAGTAGAGGTAATATACTAATGTATTATTTACAGCAAATGAGGTGCAAATCTTTTCTCAGGTTTATCCAGCTACACTAAACCTATCTTCACAGAACATTGCTGAAACACAGTCAGCTGTGAGTAAAGCCATGAGAGTTTCACTGAACAAGTCAATGTGCATGAATGGTAGGAAGCTCCAATGCTGAATCTGTTGGTAATTATTTTACTCAGAGTAACTTAACAGGCTGGTAATTATTTTACTCAGAGACAGGATCCATTTTAGGTTAGATATTAATGAGAAAAGTGCTGGTTGAAGGAGTGGTTTCTGCTTCTGGACATGTATGAAAACACCTCTGTAGTTTGCACTAAAGAAAGCTCAGGAAGTATTTTCAGGCCAAAGCAGAGTCAGATGCCAGTAGAATGTACTACACATTTCAGAAAACCTCGGGAAATTGGAATACATTATCACCAGTAGGACTTGTTTTGTTTTGTTTGGAGGGTGCATGTTTTTGTGGTTTTGTTGGTTTGTTTGTTGGTAATAAAGAAAAATCTAGGTGTGCAAGTGATTCTTGGTGAGATAGAAAAGCAAATGGGTCCCATTCTCCAGAGATCAGCAGCCCTGAGGGACTGAGGATGCTTCTCCACTATTCCAACACCAGAAGGAACACATTGAGAGCTGACAACACTTTTTATGCAACATCTCCTTCAGGCAAGAAACAACTACATCATCCTTGGGAGAATCAAGGATAACAATGTCTTATACCTAGAATGTCCTTGAAATTGTAACATGAGATTGATCACCAGACAGTTTCTTATTTTATGCTGTTTTGAATGCCATGATTTAGGAAATTCCCCTGTGAAGCCTGTTTCTTTTTTTGCTTGGCATATTGCACCTAAAAGAATTAATGACAAAACTCAGGGAGCTCTTTGTAGGCTGCAGGTGGAATAAATACTAATGGGATTATCTCTATGCCATTGGATTTCAAGCAGGCAAATGACATCTGAAGGAATAAGACAGACTTCAGGGAACTTCAAATCTTAAGGAAAATATACAGGCAGAGGGAATATATTTTGAGCTAATACTTGACCACAAATTTAGCTTGTGTTGTGCATCTTTTAAAGCTTTCTCCCTCTACATAGCCCCAGAAAAGAGATACAGGCTGACAGTCTCTCTCTTTATACATTAGATTACAAATGCAGGCCCAGAGTCTACACCCAAGGCCATTACCCACCAACAGCACACAGAAAGAAAACTGTGTTAACTTATCACAGACCCCCCACAAATCCATCTGCCATCAAGACCCGGACTTGCAGAATGTGCTTTGACTACCTTCTTAAAACCTACCTAAATTTGGAGCAATGCCACTGGGCTGCAGCATCATTCTGAGATGGGCACTGGTGTCACATGTCCCAAGAGCACTGCTCTGTGGACAGCTGAGTTCAGGCTGTCACAGAACAGCGCTGCTACCCTACATCCATGCATCTTACTGGTGGCAAGGCAGGACAGCCAAGCTAGATCATCCTCAAGAAGGACTTTGTGCCACTGATCCCACCATGCCAGGGACCAGCTGTTCTGATCACAGCCCGTCAAGCCCAGCGGTTCAAGGAGTTTTCAGTTCACCTGAACATCTGCTCAAGTGGCCAATTCTTCAGCAGTTTGTATTTGAGCATGTTAGGGAAGACAGTGCTGAAATTCTTTCTAAATCATTTTCACATCTCTCTCCTCCTCCACTGAGCTGGTAATTGCAATGTAGAAATCCAGCCAGAAAAACTGTTTCCAGGATTTACTTTATCATGTACGCAGGAACTGTTGTGAGCCTGGCTTGTAATTCCCTAGATCTTCCTTCTTGAAGATAAAATTGACATTTGCTTTCTTCCAGGCCTCAGGAACCTCCCATGGTCACCATAATCTTTCAGTGATTACCGAGAGTGACCTCATAATGACATTGTGTGCTTGTAGGTGCACCCTGTCAGAGCCCATGGGTTTGTGCTTGCCCAGTCTGTTTAAACATTCCCTGACCTACTCCTCCTCCACAAAGGGTAAATCTCCTCTGTTACCAGGTCCCCTGCCCTCATTCAGCATTACATTTTCCCTCCACTTGCTGCTGCAGCTACACTTGCAGAAAAGTTTCTTCACATCCTTTGCCAGATTCATGTCCAGGGGGACTTTTGGCTTTCCAAACCCCTGTGTCTTGCACAGTGACTGTTCAACTTTCCCCTTAGTCAACCTTACTGCTCTGGAATGCAGGGGCACCTCAAGCAGTGGAGCCAACACTGGCTTACTTCAAATATTTCACTCTGAATTTATGCTGATCTTGAAGCTCTGAGAACTTTGCCTGCACACCACCTCAAGTAGCGGAGCCAACACCTGGTTTACTTCAAATAGTTCACTCTGAATTTATGCTGATCTTGAAGCTCTGAGAACTTTGCCTGCACAGGACTATTTTTAATGTAATTGAAGGTATCTATCTTAATTTTATCCATGATGTCATTTTCAGCATCTCTCTCCAGAAAGGTGCTGCAAAGCTTGTCAGAATGTATTTAAAATGTGAAGGTGTTTTCTTTTTCTTCAATTTTGCAGGGGCTTTACTGCCATTAATAAATCCATTTACTAGCTAATACCTTCTGGTGTTATTATACACATTTTGCAGATTAATACGCTTACCTCAGTCTAATATTGCTAGTTTACCAAGAAGATGCAAATAACTACATTTGATCTGATAATTCCCTGAGAGCAATAATGGATAAATGAAACTAAAAACACATGAGAAGACTCACCAAATCAAATTTCAAGGAAATTTGGAGTTCAAGTCTAAATATGAATTCAAAATGTATAGTTCACTTACATTATTCAGTTATATTGCATGATGTTTTTAACTGATGAGCAAGGAAAAACTTTATTCCAAGTTAATGCATTTACAACTTGCAATAATTAAGTTGGGTTTGTTTTAAGCAATTTCTGACAGGCTAGTGAATCCCATAGATAAGTAACAGATATGGGAGACAGCTGTGCTAAACTGGATGCTATACAGGGTACTCTGCCAATTGGTGTGCTAACAGTTCTCAGATGTGATCAAAAGCTCTAACTTGGTTTTTTCAAGTCATATTCATTCACTGAATGAATTCCAATGTAGAGTTTTAAAGGGATAAGATATAATCAGAAGACTAATTGCTGGTCAGTAATCAAAGAATATTGAATTCACATAAGGAGCTAAAAGTG